AATAAGTAAAGTAAGTATAAATAAATAGTAACACTATATTGACGATTAGCCGAACTAATATTGAACAAAGTCGCGGTGAACCTAACGGGTAACCGGGGCTCCGGCTCGACGTGCAGGAGAAGGAATGGGGTGGTTTTTAGTCAGTAAGAGTCTGACACTCCCTCCCGCCTCACCCAGGCGGGAGCAGTCATTCGATGATTTTCCCCCCTTAAAAAAATATTGAACAAAATCACTAGGGCAAACAAATACAATACAAATTATATTCTTAAAACCAGCCCCCAACCCCAAACAATAACTAAAGAGCTTATCAAACAAAATAACATTTAATATATTTTATTACACTGTCAGCGACTCCCCATTTATCCCTCTAGAAAAACAATAAAATCCATACAAACACTAGCAGTCCGTTTTCCTATAAAACCCAATATATTCCTTGAAAACGGGATTTATGTCAATGAAGTTGAAAATCGTCCCCTCGGCAGCGCATATCAACACGTCAATATATCAGATCGGGCCTGCCATTTGTCAGCCATTGCTATTTATAGGGTAGATACGTTGCCCAATCGATGGGCAATGTATGGAATATGTTCAGGACGTTTGTATTCGATAGATAGTTTTGTGCTAGTGTCAAAAATTCTTTAGGTTTAAGAAATTCGTAACAAAGATGTTATAGAGCCAATAATTGTCGCATCGATTATCATGCATGTTGCTGATTACTAGGGGCCTTGTGTGACTTGATATTGAAGTCAATAACAAGAACAAAGTAACTACTTTGTCAAATATTTACAAAAATAACCTGTGCAAGATAATTAATTTAATAACTACATCACGATGGTCATAATGTAAAAGTAATATAAAAGTGTGTTACTATAGCGCTTTTCATTTGATCGGTATATTAATAAGTTTAATCTTCTTTGTTTAGTATACAAAGTAGATAATGTAATAGATGACGTTTGAGGAAATCTTGAGGCTTCTATCTGTCGTCTCAGGTCAAGTGGCTCTTGACATGAGACCGTCAATGGCAATCAAAACTGCCAAAATTACCCTACATTTTTATCAACGAATCTACGGCTTGGACTTATATCGTACTTACCTACTAACCACTATTGACCTTAATAACAAAAATGAGGCTTCTTCTACTTAAGAAAAGTTTGTATAAATGATCGTAGTTAGTAGCACTTCTGTGCGACCTCTTTCATAATTTTAGATTAAACCTAATTGTCAACTATTACGACACTAGCAGGAAGACTAATGAGGGTGATGAATATTGTACTCCATTCTCAATAAACGACAATATAAACCAACTATTTAGAACCACATATTCAGCAACTCTCACTATGACGCAATCATACGATCTACCAGCAACCACAACATTGTACCAATAAGATTTATCTCAAACAAACTCCTTATCAGTAAACTAATACACTTCGCAGAACACATAACACCGATAGTTGGTAATGGCCATTAACACGTGCCTAGTGCATTAATCTCTCCTCTGAAGTAATCCACTACACTAAGATAGTAGGATAGGGTATCGACTATACAGTTGAGGCGTGCCGGACTGGGCCAATGGAATTGGGAAGGTTTCATAATGGACGATGTGTCATTTTCGATTGTGTGCACGCGATCTTATTGTGTCCAGATAGTCTGTGGTTTTGATAAATGTGTATTTTTAATTTAGTAATAAAGCGTAATGAATTAATTGATTTCGGTGAATGTAATAACAGCTTTAGTTGTTTTGTCTCCGTAGTAATAAACAATATAAGATCTAATAGTGTCGCCAAAATTATGAAGTTAGTTTGCTCACATAAAAGTTATTGATAACGTCACTCGGAAACCATTAAACATTCTCTGGAACAAATACAAACTAATGATATATCAATGACGTCACGTCAAAAATGACAAGAACGTGTGTTTCTTCTACTCCAATAAAATGAAGTTCAAAAGAAAAAACAAATGACACATCAGTGACGTCAGACCCAATATGATAAGGACAGCATTACCTACAGCGTGTTCTCTTTTTATTCAAGGGAATGTATTCCATATTGAATTCCAAATTCAAATAAATAAAGAAAAATAACATACCAGTGAGTAAGGGTTAACAATACTCTTTGGGGTTAACTGTCCACGTAATCACATGGTATACGCACGCTTTCGTCATTAGCAAGAAATTCGAAGAAAGTCGAAGTGAGAAAAGAGACTTAATAAAATCGGAATCTAAGAAACTATGATGACAACATCAATAGAAACTTAACTTTTAAGCAAACCAATTATTCTCAGTAATTCTCTTGGTAATATTATAACAATCACGTCCAACACTACAATAGAAAATATCCGAAATACTCCACAAATAACACCCAATACTAGTACGTTCCTAATTCCCACATAAGCACTGAGATACAATACACTGATATCGTTTATGAGTGAGATGGGTGCCTCTGATAATTACACAGACTCGGGTAATTGATCACAACTCATATTAAGGTCGTTACTCTATTTAGAATCGGGTCGCATATATTATTTGTTATAATAACTGCGGGGAATATGTTTTGTTCAACACTATTAGTACTTATCTTGCCTATTGGGTGATTATTATTTGGAAATGGTTTTATCTTTTGTCTAGTTGTAGGTACAACTGGATCAGTTTTATTGAACATTTTTTGATTTAGGCTGTGATTACATTGTTTTGTTTAAGCGCTCAATGCTTTTCAAAACCAATTTCATGTTGTTATAAATGAATTCAAATTGAAGTTTACTATATATGGACTTTGGTACTAGATTGCATGTTTTGTTTGACGGTATTACCTCTATATTTTTTTATAAAAAAATGTCCTCTCAATTTGTCCATGTAACTACAGGAATAAAATTCATAATCAAAAGTACTGCTCAAATTATTAAAATAGAATAAAATAAACTATTAATTTCAATACATATTTTCGCAATTGATACTGCGCAAAAATGGTCAGTCAGGGTAAAGTTTTAAATTGATGTATTCAAAATGGTGTCACATTGCTATAGGTATCACCTTTGTAACGTTTAAACGAAATATTGTAATCTGATTTTATTTCAATATTTTATAGCCAACTTCAATCATTTTTATGCTAATAGTTTTACCTGAAACTATGTAAACGGACCTACGCGTAATGAATAAATGCGTACACCTATTGCCATTTTCAACAACCGCTCCAAAATTTTAAAGAATCTCTAAGTTAAGATAGGAAATATTTAACACCACCATTAGGTTACCATTAAGAAACCAAACAGTACAAGTAAGGGGTTAGTTTGCGTACGTTTAGGTACGTCATGCTAGGTAAATTTTAGTTAAGAGATGGTTTAGGGATAATAGATAAAAACGGTCATAAAACTGTTATTTATAATTACTATGAACAAAAATAAGCTCCTAATTATGATCAATAATATAAAAAATTGTTATTTTACTCATTCTCATATACCTTTTTTTAAGGGGGAAAATCATCGAAGGACTGCTCCCGCCTGGGTGAGGCGGGAGGGATTGTCAGACTCTTACTGACTAAAAACCATCCCGTTCCTCCTGCACGTCGAGCCGGAGCCTCGGTTACCCGTTAGGTTCTCCGCGACATTCTCATATACCTAAATTAAAGAATTCGAAGCAATGTCATTTACCTTAGGCACGTGTGTTTTGTAACACATACCCCCAATAAATACCCTTACAAAAGAGCAAAAGACGGGCCCATTCGTCGAAAACCAACAAGTCGCAATTACAACCCTAAAGATTAATCAGGAAACGCCCAAGTAAGCGTTTAACCAGTCCAAATTGCTGCAAAAGGTACACCAACATTGTGATCAATTAAGTTGATAGCCGATTGAGTACCCCACTTTACTATACCTACGGTACCTACGCGTTGTGGGTGCGACCGCAAGAACCCCAAATTCCTGGCAAGGTACTTCGAACGGAACTTTAATTGTTTCGGTAGCTACACGAAGTTCTATAGTTTTTGTTTAAGGAAATAGATCTGCTGGTGATAAGTTATTAGTTTATATGCAAATAGACGTATGTACTATCAGGCGTACATTACAAAAATTAAGAGGACTTTGGATGAGGCCTATCATTAGATAACGAAAAACATGTTGGCCCAGAGAAAAATAACTTACGATTAGAAGTTTAAATGCTTTTAGGAAATACAACATCGTTTCATGATTGCCTTGTCATAAAGAATGCACAGAAAACCATTAACAGCCTCAACTGAAACGAATCAACCACCCCAAGACAGAGAAAAACACCATCAACATTTTTCTATTCATAGAAAAATTCCTGATCTGTTTCTCTGTTATATTAAAGTGTCGAGTCATATGCTAGTAAGGGGTGCAAGTAGCCATGGTGCCAATTACTCTCAGGAACACCAACATCCTAGGGGTGGGCGAAATAAACCATAACATTCATAAAGGGATAGTGTCGTAGTACATACAATCGGTGCCAATAAAACAGCGAAGCCCCACGCAATAAGCAAAGGCGAAATAGCGCGGAAACGTTGGGGGAAACAGTATTAATACTTATGGTTAATTGTACCGGGGATACGCGGGTGTAAGATGATGCTTTGGAAAAGTTATTGTAAGAATAATAGTCATAATAATGTTTGTTTTAAAATGAAATTTTAAAGTATTTGCCAATTTATAATATTATTCAGGTATTAATGTAAAAATGTTATTATTTCATTAATGTCTTATAACTTCGTCATGTACCTATTTGGAAAACTTTACATACAAATAATTTTGTTTTTTTTTTCTGCTATTCATTTAGCATCTAGTTAAAATTTTAATATGCTTGGTAGTTTCGAAAAACCTAATTTTATTATTTTAGGAGTTACAAAAAGTTATCTAGTATTCTTACCGTAATAATAAAAATAGCTTTGTATAAGACATAACATCATGATCATCATTTACCTTCTCTTCATATGAAGATCTAAGTAATAGACATTAAAACTGAATAAAGAATCAGTAGAAACAGTAAGGAAAAAAAACACTGTCTGAAGCACATCATGCTCCTCAATTTTTGATATAAAAAATTACAAAAAGTGCGACTGTAGTGATTACGGTACGAATAAAGTGTAGTTTGAGTGTAGTGCTAATTGTGTTATTGTTATTTAACTGCAAAAACAGTGTATACGCCACCAAACTTGCCATCAAAACTATTCTATTTGCACAGTGAAAAAAACGTCTACCCTCATTTATAACAATTTTGTACCGTACACAGATCACTGTCACTGACATTGTCATTGCTGCAAACGTCAAGTGACAGTTGTTGTCACTGTCATAACTGTCGTAATCGATCACTGTCATTGTCATTCCTACAAACGTCAAGTGCCACGAATTAGTGTTGCCAATATTTGAAATTAAATTTCCCTAATATTTTAGGGAAATTTCTTTATTAAGAACCAGATAAACTATATAAGGGCGGCACTGCCAACATCACCAACATCGGAACTTCCTAGCCAGGCCCTAGTTCGAAGCGCATTCCGCTATCTCGCAACGCTTGGACAATTCGGTCTATAACATACAAAGGACGGATATGGAGGAATTAAAAAATATGTTAATTAGCATGCAGCAAGATATAAAGCAGCAAAAACAGGATATGCTAGAGATGAAAAAAGACATAAAGGATACAATAATAAACAGTCTCAGCGAGAAGTTCAAGAACCTAGAACTGAAAAACGAGTTTTTGGAGAAAAAAACAGAAGAGCAATCAAATAAAATTAACAACCTAGAAAGACAGTGTCGACGCAAAAATCTGATCTTATTTGGCGTAGAAGAGATAGAAAAATCGTATGAGGAATTGGAAAAACTCGTCATAAATATCATAAATACATACATAAAAATTTCATGCGATACTTACAACATAGAGGCTGTTAGAAGGCTGGGTAAAAAGGGGGTAAAAGTTCGACCGATATCAATAACATTTAACACCTTAGGCTTCAAAATAAAAATTCAAAAAAATAAACATAACCTTAAAAATACGTCCTATTACTTAAAAGAAGACTACCCAATTGAAGTGTTAGTTAAGCGTAAAGAGCTACAAGTACAATTACAAAAAGAAAAAGATGCGGGAAACACAGCTTTTATAAAATATGATAAAATTATTATACTGAACAACAAACAACCCCAACAGAAACAATCAAGCAAAAGATATCATTCAGAATCTCCGGAGACGCTTTACCCTGACAACCTAAATGCTCAACACACTAGCAAAAATACAGCTAAGAAAAATAAAGGGATTATGACGAATTATATAATACAAAAGCCCAAACTAATTCTCGCTCAAACAGAGCCAATTCAACGCCAATCGATGACACCAGATCAAAACACAACATAGCAATTAGAATCGGACTCTCTTCCAACCCCTTATCTCCCAGCACGGTCGGTCACCGCGGGAGAGCACGACCAAAACCCCCCGAGAACACTTACTAAAACAAGAAATACAATCTTCATTTGCACTCTCAACGTAAGATCACTATCTTCTGACCAAAAATATATTGAGCTCAAAGCCGCACTGAAAGATATTAACCATGATATAATAGGATTGAGCGAAGTTCGTCGCCTAGGAGAAAAGATAATCGAAGACGACGAATACATTTTCTACTACATTGGCCAAACAAAAGGACTTTATGGAGTAGGTTTTCTAGTAAAGAAGAAACACAAGGATAAGATCACAAAATTTACTGGGATTTCGGAAAGAGTTTGCGTACTGGAGATCAGAATAGAGAATCTGTGTTTTGCAATAATACAAGCACACGCCCCCACTGAAAACTCATCAGAGGAAGAAATAGACAACTTTTACGAAGACTTAGAGAAAGCTCATGATTCCACACATACTGAGTATGTTTTTTGTATGGGCGATTTTAATGCTCAAATCGGAACCCCAGAAAAGTTCGAACGCTCCGTTACTGGAGAGTACGGCTATGGCTCTAGAAGCGCTCGAGGTTCGAGACTAATTCAATTCGCGCAGGAGCACAACCTGAAAATTATAAATACTATGTTTAACCTAAAACCAAAAAACCGCTGGACTTGGATCTCACCAGATAAAAACACCAGAAATGAAATCGATTACATCATGGCCACAAAACACAGCATGATCTCTAAATACGAAGTACTACAATCTTTCTCCTTTGGATCGGACCACAGGCTACTAAGAGCAACAATTCACCTAAACACCACAAAGAAAAGTAGACGAAATTTCTCCAATACATCCACTAAGCTAAAAACTCCAGCAGAACAGGAAACATATCTCACAAACCTCGAAGGCCGTATACCGCAACTTATAGAGAATCAAAACAATTATAACATGGAGGAGTATTACCAACAAATCATACAACAAATCACGACAAGTCTAAAAAATATTAAAGGAACACATAAGAACAAAATTCTATCGGCGAGAGCACTAAAACTCATGAAGGAAAGAAGCGAACTACAAAATAAGCCCAATTTAAGTAAAGCTGACAAAGAACACCTAAAAATCTTGTACAAATGTACCAACAAAGAAATAAAAAGGTGCTACGTTACGTACAGAACAACAACTATACAAAGACATCTCAGTAACTCTAGATCTGCCAAGAAAGCTTACAAGGAGCTAAACCAAGCCAAAACATGGGTGCCTTTCCTAAAGTCTGGCAACAGTAAATGCAAATCTCGCACGGAAATCATAGACGCTGCCACTAATTTCTACGCTAATCTTTATAAACAACCAGACACACAAAATCAAAACATGGTTCCCTATAGCTGCACAGTTACTTCTACAGTACCTCAATTTACAGAATGCGAAATATTGAAACAGCTAACGAGACTTAAATCAGAAAAAAGCCCAGGACCGGACGGAATCAGCAACGAATGCATAAAGGTTGCAAAGGCTCTTCTACTGGTACCAATAACTATCCTATGGAATAAAATACTTCATGAAGAAGCGGTACCACATGAATGGATGACATCGGAAATTATACTACTATATAAAAAAGGCGACCCAGCTGACATAGGCAATTATCGTCCTATAAGCTTAATGTCTAGTTTCTATAAGCTTTTTGCATCCTGTTTACTTGGAAGGATAGCTCCAGTCATCGATGCCCACCAACCGATTGAACAAGCTGGTTTTAGAAGCGGTTTCAGCACAACAGATCATATCCAAGTGGTCGATCAGGTGATAGAAAAATACCAAGAATTTAACAGACCTCTATATCTGGCTTTTATTGACTACAAAAAAGCTTTTGACTCAATTTCACACGAGAGCATCTGGGAGGCGCTGAGAGCACTAAAAATAAACGAAAAATACATCGAGATCTTAAAAAATATTTACTCCAACAGCACAAGTAGAGTAAAATTGGATAGAGTGGGCGAAATAATCAGCATAAAGAGAGGTGTCAGGCAAGGAGACCCGATCTCACCAAAATTATTCATAGCTGTCTTGCAACACGTAATGGGAGAGTTGCCATGGTGCAATAAAGGTATTAATATAAATGGAAAATTTTTAAGTCACCTCAGATTTGCCGACGACATAATTCTTTTTTCGGAATCCCCCCATCAACTAAACAAAATGGTAAACGAGTTGAACCATGTCAGTCTAAAAACTGGTTTAGAAATGAATTTGGATAAAACTAAAATTATGTCTAACCGCAGTGCAACGCCCATTTCAATAAATAACACTCCTCTCGAGTTTGTTAATCACTACACATACTTAGGAAAACAAATCTCCTTTAGTAAGGAAAGAAACACCGAAGAACTAAACCGAAGAGTGGCGATTACCTGGAACAAGTTCTGGCATCATAAGGAAATATTAAAATCGCAACTATCGCTACCGTTCAAGAAAATAGTCATGGATACAGGACTGCTGCCGTGCCTAACATATGGATGCCAAACTTGGATCTTTGATCTCAAAACCAGAAAGAAAATCCAAACTACCCAGAGAAGAATGGAAAGAAGCTGCATAGGAATAAAATTGAGGGATAAGGTGAGGAGCGTCGACATTCGAAAAAGGACTAAAGTATGCGATGCCTTAACATTTGCAATAAGGGCTAAATGGAAGTGGGCTGGCCACGTGGCCCGTTACAAGGACGACAGATGGACTTTACGGGCAGTGAAATGGTCTGGGCCAAAAGGCACCAGATCAAGAGGTCGACCAAGGGCCAGATGGGCAGACGAAATTGTTGCATGTGCAGGTGAAAGTTGGCTAGACAGAGCAAAGGACAGAAAGGGATGGCATTTCTTGGGGGAGGCTTTTACCCGAATGGGGTCTATGCATGAATAAGAAAAAAAAAAACTATTATACTATACTATATAATAGAAAAATTTATATTAATTGGAACTCAAATTTATATTTGTAATTATAATTTTTTTTAATATAATTAATGTAGTTCTCGAATTGTTATCACAAATGTTGATTAATATGTATGCATGCATGGAATAAATAAAGCTTTATTATTATTATTATTATTATTAGAAACAGTAATAACACATACGAACTCTGAATCAAAATAACCAAGGACGTCTCAAGCGCAATTTTAGAGCTCATCCAATGAAGGGTGACTGTGCTTCCCTATAAGACGTGTTCGGACTAGAGAATGACTCTCTGAGGTGAGATGCGCTCAGTTCATTACAAATACTATGAACGAACCAAAGAACTTGATGTTTATCAATTGTGTTATCGTTTTCATGTGTCGCTGAAATGCCATGGAAATAATAATGCTCCCTATATTGGGTGGTGTCGACAATATAACTTCAAATGTCTCCTTGTGTCTAGTTGTTTATTTTAGGGAGGGATTATGATGATCTGTCTGGATGTTATGATGACTCAGAGTTGTTTGTTCAAAGATTTATTTTCGGAAACAAATGGGATGATGAACGAGGACTAGTATAGGACGATCCCCAACCAGATGGTCTGATCAGCTCAAGAATAACCCAGCATCAAAGTTCTACACCACAATACAATTGGCCGCAGACAGGAGCCGATGGAGATAATTCATCCAATCCAGGGTGATGCCAAGATGAACACAATCCTCAGACGACAAGAGGGAGAGACAAACAGAAAACTATCACCCGACATCCCGAAATGTAAATTTTTCATTTCATTTTGGTCAAATTATTTATATTAATTTAATCATTTGCAAACATGGGTACATAGATGTATATAGATGTTAACAAAGTTTATATATATTTTACCTTCACTTGGCATGAAACAAGGTCCATTGAATTAAATTATTACCAATAATTGTGCAAATAATAATGTCGTTCATCATCATCATCAACAGCCTATAAATGCCCACTGCTGAGCAAAGCCTCTTCTCACACGGAGAAGGTTAGAGCGTTAATCACCACGCTTGCTCAATGCGGGTTGGCGATTTCAAACTTATAATTAGAAATTATAAGTCCAGGTTTCCTCACGATGTTTTCCTTCACCGTTTGTCAGTGGTGTCTAAATAATCTTAGAAAGTACATATAACTCGGAAAAAGTCACATTGGTACTTGCCGTTGGTAGGTTTCGAACCCGCACCCTTATGCATGAGAAGTGGGCGTCTTAAACCTCCGGGCCACCACGACATTATACGAATAATGTCGTTAGAATACAATAATGTCAAAGAAATTAGAGTTATTCATACTACTGAAGTCAAAAATAATGTCAAATTAAATATATAATGTAAAAAGGTAATCGTCAATTATAAATATCACACAAGCAATGTCAAATAAATTAAGTTAAATACCATAAGACCTCGAGATAATATTTTGCAATATAGTACACTTTGTCATAAAGAAATTCTTTTAATTTCAGTTTAAACAAATTGAGGATCCCAATTCCTGAAATACAACATGGCAGTTTGTTGTATACCTTGAATAACGTGCAAAAAACACTAAGTTGCAACACGTGCAAATCCTGTTATACAAATAGGCTTGTGAACGAAAATTGAAGCAATTTCATAAATTGGCAAGATGTAGTGTAGTCCATTAATACCAATTATTGTGGTATCCTATATTGGGGTCCGTGGTTGTAGGAAACCGAAACGTCAATAACAGATATTCGGCACAGATTCCGACAGCTTACGGTAAACAATTTGACTATAAGTAACTATAAACTGCCTTAGACATCTACAAGCATTATCTGTTTAAGTCACTGACTACTTTAATACTATAAACATAGATTCCAAAATAATATATTGACCAATTAGGTCTGGATATTAATGCAACTGCTGTTTTACGCATGATTGGCAACCGGCAAATGATTGTATTTAACCGCCATCAAAAAAAAGAGGTTCTCAATTTGATCTGTACATATTGCATTATGTTTGTGCGCGTTTATCATGCAATTGGCTGAACCGATTTTGATGTGGTTTTCAGAAAAGTGTCTGTTACACTTAGGAGAA